TATCCCTGGAATACATCCTGGTAGAAAGCTGGGCCATCAAGGTAATCCTCAGCTGCATAATGAGATTAGGACCAGCCTGTACTAGGTGAGACTATGTCTCAAAATAGAAAACATAGCTGGGCACACGCCTTTAATCCCAGCACTCAGGGAGGCAGAGGCAGGCAGATCTCTGAGTTTGAGGCCAACCTGGTCTACAAAGGGAGTTTAGGATAGCCAAGGCTACACAGAGAAACCCTGTCTCAAAAAAAAAAAGAAAGAAAAAATATATATAACATGATTTGTATCTCATTCTCCATATTTACTGTGATTGGCCTGAGCTTATTGGATACTTTCCTATTATATATATATATATACACTTTTTTTTTTAAAGACATAGTCTTACTGTGTAGACCTGGCTGATCTAGAATTCACTCTAAAGAACAGGCCTCAAACTCAGATATACACCTGACTCTGCCTCTTAAACTAGGATTAAAGGTGTCTGCCACCATGCCCTGCTATTCCATGCTTTTATACAAAAAGCTCTCCAAATATGTTTAAAGAAAAAAGTCCAAAATTCCCAACACGAAATCTGTTCCCACTCCTAGAGTACTGAATACCTAACGCCTTGAGAATTGCTTCTAGTAGTATCTCCTATGGGCCCAGACCACATCCATTCCAGTAGACAGCTTCTGATAGGTATACCCCAATAACAAAGTAAGCCAATTGAAGTCAAATTAAAGTATCAAAGCAAGTTTATTGGGGGCAGGTTCACCAGTCCCAAGGAATGGGGTCAGGGAAGTCACCCAAGGAGACAGAAGTTGGGGGGGGGGAGGGCAGGGTGGAGTGGAAAGAGCATGTAAACTCTGAGAGAAGAGAGAGAACCAAAATGTCTGGATTGTATAGTGAAGAGCCTGGGGGAGGAAGGCCTAACCCCTGGGCTGGAAAGTTCAATGTAGAGGGTGAGATATGCCAGCCAAGGCTAGAATCTGGAGGCCAGGTCCACTCTGATATGTTAAATAGGCACCTCAGCTGCTTGTCTTGGGTCTGAAACCCAATAGCTACTAGTGCCCTTAAAGTTAACTTTGGTGTCTCATAAAAAAGGGAAGAAAGCCAAAGCATGATCATTCCCCACAGGTAAGCTCTAGGGCTTGGTGAAGAGATGGGAAATGTACTTAGGACAGGAGAACCCTATTGTTCTGATTGCCTGAGCACATTCTCCAAAACTATTTGTAAATTTTTTCCCTCCCAGTGCTGCAAATTGAACCCAGTGCCTTGTACACGTAAGGAATACTAGTTAGCTTTGTCAACTTGACATATATGGCCTACAGTTACCTGAGAGGAAAGCCTCAGTTGAGGAATTGCTTAGATCAAATTGGTCTGTGGCGTTTCATTGGGGAAGTTACCTTACTGATGGAGGATGGCCTAGCCCACTGTGGCCTAGCCCACTTGGACCTACGTAGCTGGTCCAAGACTGTATAATAACATTAGCATAATTTCTGGTCTGATCTCCCTAAGTGATGGATTATACCCTGGAAGTGTAAGCCATCTCCTCCCCTAAGTTGCTTTTGGTCACAGTGTTTTATCACAGCAACAGAATGAAACTAGAACACTAAGCAAGCAGTCCCTACCTGAACTATTCACAGGCAATTTTGAGCTAATATGCTGACTAATATATGTATGAATATATAGTATATTGACTGATACAACACATAAGAAATTAGATATGTTCTAAGATATCACTGGGTGGTATCTTGTTTTCCTAAATGGCAAGGTTTTGCTTTTGTTTTTTTCCTGTGTACCCAGGCCAGAGTTTTGACTCAAATGGGAACCTGACTAAGGCTCTGGGAAGAGAAAAGTTCATTCCCCCTTGAGTCTACAGCTGGAACTGAGTCAGAGGTCACTCCCTATCCACCTACTCCTTTCCTACCTCTCTACCTAACCCCTTCCCCAAATAAGGGTTGTCAGAGAGTTGTCTCAACTCCTTAGCAGATGCTGAGTTTGTGAGACTCAGTGTGGCCCACCTGTGATCCCAGCACTCCAGTCAGGACTGAAAATATAGTGCCGGCCTCACTACGTGGTAAGAACCTGTCTCAATGAACTGGAATGTTCCAGGCTTGAAAGGACAAGCAAACTGGAAGTTTTCAGTCCAATGACTTTATGTAGTTCCTTGACAGAAGGCAGGCAAGGACATTAGCAACAAGACCCTGGGCTCGGTGTGACATTTGGGAAATAATATCCTTCTTCATATACTCACACAAACACCTTTACCCTGGCAGAGTCAATCCTTTTCTATTGGAAAAGCATTGTACCTATAAAAGAATAAAGGATAAATTATTTTACCTCTTTCCCATATAATACAAGATTACCTTGGCAAACTTCAATTTCTCACCCCTCTGCTTTCAAATTCTATGCCTTTGTTGTATATTAGTTCTATCTTGTTTATATCTATTAACCACAAAATTATATATTTGTTGGAACATTTTTCTGCACTGTGTAAAGGTCTTTGTATTATTCAGGTGCTAATTTCTGTACCAGCAGAGAGTTGTGTGCAGGCTGGACTTTGCTATTATCTTTATGAAGCATCAGCTGTCCCAGTGTTTTATAACATTCTTCTCCATCACCCTGATTGGTTTAATAAAGAGCTGAGTGGCCTATAGCAAGGTAGGAGAGGAAGGCAGGACTTCCGGGCAGAGATAGGACACTTAACTCCTACAGTCCTGATAAAGGGGATCATACACACCAACTCCCCTTCTAGTCTACCTGGAAACCACACCTGAGATACTGTCACATGGCTCTTCCTTTTAGTAAGAAAATACCTTTCCTTCAGACATGTGTGGTGATATATGCCTCCAATAACAGCACTTGGTCAGGGTGAGGCAAAAGGATTAATGTGAGTTCCAGCAAGCTTCTGAGTTACATGGTGAGACCCTGGAGTGGAAGGAGATGAGAGGGATTGGTTTAGGAGGTGGGGTGGTGCATGCAAGTTGTGGGTGTGGGTAGCTGCCACACCCAGGTCAGAGCAGGACATCAGTTGTCTTCCACTGTTGCTGTCTTACCACTGTGAGACAGGGTCTCTGACTGCACAGGAAGCCCATTATTTAGGATATGTTAGATGCCCAGCAAGCTCTTCAGGATCTGTTGACATAGTGTTGTGCACTGTGTAAAGTTTACCCTTGTTTACTCCAATGCTGATTTCTCTGTCCCACCATCTAGCTTCAATCAGAACATGGCATTGTAATATTTAATGTCTGTTAGGTCTCAAGTTTGTGTAAACATGCCTAATAAACACTGTTTTGCCAGTAAACGCTGACCAGCCAATGCTGAGAGATAGAATAGGGTGGGGCACTGGGTCCAGGAGGGGGTGAGAGAGAGGAAGTAAGAGATTGAGCCATGAAGGCGAGGTCCAGGAAGCAAAAGGGAATTGGACTGGAGCCAGGCAGGGATTTTAAAAATTGCAAATATGATAGAGATTTTGGCTGTGAGGAAGCTAGACTAGCTTGAAGGTTTAGAATGGAGTAACAATTGCTCAATATTGTACTCAAGGCTAATTAAATTATAGTCTCAATGTATCTTTATTTGGGTCAGTAGCTGGCTAAAGATAAACTGCCACCATACTAATTTATAATTAAATTCACATTAATCATTCTACAATGATCTGCTTGTCTCTGGACCCCAGTGCTGAGGCTAACACTCATGCAGCCATGTTTTGTTTTGTTTTTGCACATATAGGGTATTGAGACTTGGGTCCTCATGCTTGCAGAGCAAGCAGTCTTGGCTACTTAGCCACGTCTTCTCTCCCAGCTCTTTACATGTTTCCTCATAGAAAACTCAGAGAGTAATCCAACAGCTGGAAGTTACTCTCTGAGGTGTGATCTGGAATATTTTCTCTCACTGCTTCCCTCCTCAGAGCTTCCAGGTAATTCTACTGTAGGCCTCTATCATCCTGGGCATGCAAGGGTATCAGATGGAAGATCACTGTCATACCATGTTCAAGGTCAAAACCTTGACCCACAACAACAGAAGAAAAGATTACAAAGAAGCTCCAAAAAAATGTCACTCAGCTGAGAAGCCCCCAGGGGGCCAGTGTTTGTCCTGAGTAAAGCACTGAGCTCTTTCCCTATGGTACCATCACCAAGAACACAGAGCTTGAGAACTTAGAAGTGATGTTTCCTCTTCCCTGATCAGCCCTGTTGGTGTGATCCCTATTGCTGTCCTGAGTGACCTGGTCGCCTTCACTTCAGTCACACACTGAGAAAGAAAAGGAAGGGGCCAAAGCAGAGAAGCTACAACATCTATTCTATTCTACATATGTGTTTGGCCAGAAAGGCTGTGGTATCTAAGGTCATGCACTCCTGGGCATAGGGACCCAGTTCTGCCTCACCTTTAATAGGTCACTATATCTGAAGGAGAATTTCCCCCTGCCTTCAGAGGCCGGGCACAGGGAAAGCACGGGTTGAGAGAACTGTAAGAATCATTCAGACCAAGCTCATCTCGGGATGCCCACTGAAGAGAGGCTGACTAGAGGGAGACACTGTCAGAAGGAGCCTAGATTGCTGTTTTGATTTCCAATCAAGGCTCTGATGGCTTTTTGAGATAGTCCAGACTGACCTTGAACTGGATTTGTAGCTGAGGATGACTGAACTGCTGATCCTCCTGTTGCCACCACCCAAGTGCTGGAATTACAGGCCTGTCCCATCATGCCTAACTACAATATTGGCTATTTTTGGTGGTGTTGGAAATGAAAGCTATGAATTCTAGATGAGTATTCTACCACTAAGCTACACTCCCAGTCCTTCTCTCATCCCAAGTGTGTATGTGTTGCTAGGGAGCAAATCTCAGGTGTCATGCTTACTAGGCAAATACTAGGACTTTGTTATTGCCACAACCTGTATGTAAGGAAGATGTCCTTTCAGACAGGAAATAATTTTTAGAATAGTACTTAAAGTCCAAACTAGAAAGTAACTTTATCTTGATTTTTCATGTGGAAGCAAATTAAAATCAAAAGTATTCTGTGGAGAGGAACAAGGGTGGGAGGACACCCTTCCCAGAAGGCAGGCGACTGTTTCTCGGTTTGGTTCAGCTTGCAGCAGGGTGGCTGGAGCTCTGGGCATGTGTGTAGCAGCTTCCTTAAAACAGACTAGAGCTGCTGGTCTTCAGGCTATTGATGAGACTATTTTCTGTGGGACTGTTGGAGACCCACCAAGGCTTTCATATAATTGTGCTACAAGAAGAACATCAAGAAAAGGGAAATTGATCAGGAGGTGTCGTCTTAGTAAGGACTATGTCACTCAAGTTCACATCATTCTTCCTGCAAACATCACAGTCTGGAGTCAAAATCTCTGGATAGTCCAAATTCTATGAAAAATAATATTCCATCCAAACACTTTCATTCCTTCAATCTAAGGAAAGGATGTGAGGCTGTTTTGAAATAGCCTGGCAGTCATGTTTAAAAGACATGTACTGGGCATAGTGGCATATGCCTCCCAACGGACAGGAAGCAGAGGCAGGTTGGCTCTGTGAGCTCTGGTCTACATAGAGTCCCAGGATATCCAGAGGTACATAGTAAGACCCTGTCTTGAAAAAGCAAAAAGGCATGTGTGTTTCCATGGCCTACTTAAAATCTGACAGAGAATGAAGTCAAAAGAGAGATGATGTTACAGTTTGGATATAAAGTAGCCCTGAAAGGCAGGCAGAGGTGGCACATGCCTTTAATCCCAGCACTCAAAAGGAAGGCACATCTCTGTGAGTTCCAGACCAGAGAAACCCTGTCTCTAAACCCCCAAACGAAACAAAAAAAAAAAAAAAAATTATCTCTGAACAGGTTCCTATGTTTACAAGCTTAGTCTCCACTGGTAGATCTGATCACTGAGAGCGAAATGGAAAGTGAGGGCCCTGATCTAATCAATGGGTTTGTCCAACAGTGAACTTCTAATCTGATAGCATTACTGGAAGGTGATGGAAAACAAGAGGTAGGACCTGGTTGGAGGACGTGGATCACTGGGGATCTGCCCTGAAAGGTATGTCAATCATGTCTTTGGTCCAGCCCTGTCTTTCTCTGCTTGAGCACCTTGAAACAAGCAACTCCCCACCATGCTCTGTTCTGCACCAAGTCATCCTGTTCTGATTTACCACAGGCCCATAACAGTGGAACCAGTTTACTGAGGCAAAATAAACCATCTTTGTTTTTTCCTATGTTTCTGTTTTTGTTTCTAGACTGGGTTTCCATGAAGCCCAGGCCTGCCTTGAACCTCCTATGCAAAAAAGGATGACTTTGAATTCCTGATCCTCCTGCCTCCAGCACTCAAGACACATGTGGCACCAGATTGCCTTAATCCAAGTTGTTACTCCCAGGTATTTGTCACAGCAATAGGAAACTAACACAGAGAGGATTCTACCTCTAGAGGTTGGGGCCTATTACCGTTACAGGCCCTCTAGCTGTAGTACTCAAAATTGTACCCTTTCTTTTTTAATTTAAATACTACCCTTTTAATACACTCTTAGCTCCCTGCAAACTGGTAGAAAAGACTGTCAATAAAACAGTGGGCAGGCAAAGAGCAACTGTTAAAGCTAGCTTAGCATATGCAAAGAAACCCTAGCATTCCCAAGGTCAGAGGCTGAACCTGCAACGCCAACACTAAGCTAGAATTTTCTTTCTGGAGATAGGGTCTCAATAAATAGCCCAGTATGGCCTTGAACTCAAGATACACCACAACTCCCCAAAGCCTGAGATTATAGGATTTGACATAATTCCTGGCTCAAGATGGAATTTTTCCTCTCTGGTCCTGGGTATTGAGCCCAGAGCCTTACACAGAGTAGGCAAATGCTCTATTTCTAAGCTACATCTGCAGCATTTAGGCTGGAATTCTTGAAGGATGTGAAATGGTTCTGGGTTGGTAATTACAAAAAGTAAATGCAGGCATTGTAGTGGTGAAAGCCTAAAAATTCCAAGACTTAGGAGGCAGGAGTTCAAGGCCACCCTCTGCTACATAGCAAGTTCAAGGTAGGCCCGAACTGCAGGAAATCTTGTTTCAAAGAACAAAAAAAAAAAAACAGCCAGATATGATGCTGAATGCCTGTAATCTTAGCACTGGGGAGGTAAAGACAATAGTATTAACTCAAGGTTTTATTATTTTTGGGTTTTCAAGGCGGGGTTTCTTTGTGTGACCTTGGCTGTCCTGGACTCACTTTGTAGACCAGGCTAGCCTCAAACTCTGCCTCCTGAGTACCAGGATTACATGTGTTCACCACCTCGCCCTACTCAAGGTCATCTTTAGCTGCATAGTGAATTTGAGGTCAGCCTAAACTAAATGAAATGGCATCTTGTTTATTTGGTTGGTTGGTTGGTTTTCTTTTTTGAGAAAGGGTGTCTCTGTGTAGCCCTGGCTATCCTGGAACTCACTCTGTAGACCAGGCTGGCTTCAAACTCTGCCTGTCTTCAGAGATCTGCCCGTCTCTGCCTGAGTGCTAGGATTAAAGGTGTGTGCCAGTAGCATTGTTGCTTTCTTCCTTTCGTTCTTTGTTCTTTCTTTTTTTTTTGTTTTTTTTCGTTCTTTCTTTAAGACAGGGTCTCATTATGTAGCTCTTGCTTGGAACTCACTATATAGATCAGACTGGCCTCAAAGTCATAGAGATCCTCCTCTGTCTCCTGAGGATAGGAGACCATGTCTCCCTGTCTTAAGAAATCAAAACAAGCTGGGCACCTGTAATCTCAGCACTCAGGGAGGCAGAGGCAGGCGGATCTCTGTGAGTTTGAGGACAGTCTGGTCTACAAAGTGAGTCCTGGACAGCCAAGACTACACAGAGAAACCCTGTCTGAAAAAAAATCAAAACAAAACAAAAAACATCCTCCCCCCCTCCCCCATACGTTCATGCACACACACCAAAAAACAAATATACACACTTTCAGGAAGAAAATAATTTCAAGTTATATGTTTTGCAGTCCTTAAATCTAATCAAATATGAGCTTGTGATTTAAAATATATACTTGGGACTAAAGAGATGATAGCTCAGCAGTTAAGAGCAATGGCTGCTCTTCCAGAGGACCTGGATTCAATTCCTATTACCCATGTGGTGGCTCACAACCATCTCCGGTTCTGGAGGAATCCTGGGGAATCTTACACCCTCCTCTGGCTTCTGCAGGCACCAAACATGCACACAGTACACAGATACACATGCAGGCAAAATGCACATAAAGTATGCAAACACACTCACATACACACTAAATCAGTTTCACAGTGAAAGAGACTAAGAAAAATAGGAAACAGTGCTGAGTATGGTAGCACACAGCTGTGATCTCGGCACTTGGAAAGGAGATACAAGAGGATCAGGAGCTCAAGGTTATCCATGGCTACCTGGCAAGTTTGAGACCAGCCTAGGATACATGACCCCTGTGTCTCAATAACAAAAACCACCTGAGCACAAAGGACTGCACAGTATTCAGGGCCTTGGCAAGGTGAAGACTCTGGAGAGTCACAGGCTCTACCTGTGGCAGATACCATGTCTAGTTCCACTTTGGCTACATGTGATCCTGTCCCCTGCCATTTATGCAGGATGGCTTCCAGGACAGGCCCTTCTCCACAGGAAGCAGTCTCAGAGGATCTCTTCCCTAGACTGTCATGGGCTGTGAGTCACCACACATGGTTATGTGTTAGCATTACAAGCCATGCCTGGACCAGGCTATGATCTATGTGATTGATCCTCCTTCCCCCACTTCCAAAGTCCAGCCTTGTTCCAGTCTAGAGCTGGCAGAAGATACCCGTGGACTAAGGGTGACAGTCAATCTCCCTGGGCTTGTACCATCATGCACGCACACACACATACACCCTTGCCTATCTAATGAGGTTGGTGATCCTGGGTGTCCTAGTAATAAAGTCTTTGCACCCCCTCCCCTCACAGACATGAATGCCCCAAGTTACCTTCTGTTCTGTCTTGACTTTGGCATTGTAGAAGGAAATGGAATCAGGACCCTCAGGCAGGACAGTCTGCTGCAGCTGGTTGAACCTGTCCTGGTCATCTTCTCCCTGGAAGAGACCCAACCCAACATGGTATCTCAGCCTGGCATTGGAAAAGCCCTGACAGGGCCTGTGAGCATCAGGACAGCCCCTTGCTGGGTTTGCAAATGCACCCAGAGCACTGTAGCACCCATGTCTATCAGAGGCCTCCCAGATCCCTCTGTAAGGGCCACCTGGGCGCTGAAGAAAGTCGGCAGTATTCTTTTGTCTCTTTCAAAAAATTATTTATGTAAATGGGTGCTTTGTCTGCATGTTCATCTGTACACCGAAAGGGGGAATTGGAATTCATGTTATAGACAGTTGTAAGCTACCATGTAAGTATGGAGAATTAATCTCAAGGCCTCTGGAAGAGTGTCCAGTGCTCTTAACCACTGGGCCATCTCTCCAGCCCTGAATATCCTGCTTTAAGATTTGTGCTGGTTGGTTTTTGTCTACTTAACATAAACCTAGAAATGCCTGTGAAGAAACTCTCTCAATTAAGGAATTTCCTCCATCAGGCTGGCCTATAGGCAAGTCTGGGGGCATTTTCTTGATTAATGATTGATGTAGGATGACCCAGTCCATAAGGACAGTGTGGTAGGTAGTCCTGGATTGTATAAGAAAGCACACTGAAGGGGATAAAGAGATGGCCCAGTGGTTAGGAGTACTGGCTGATCTTCCAGAGGACCCAGGTCCAACTCTTACCACTCACATAGTGGCTTATAACTATATATGACTCTAATTCCAAGTGGGAAGCAGAACTTCTGAACTCAGGTAATGTACATACATACATGAACTCATACACATTTATCTACCTATCTATCTATTTTTGGTTTTTCAGAGGTTTCTCTAGGTAGTGTAGTCCTGGCAGTATTCTAGACCATGTTGGCCTTGAACTCAGAGATCTCCCTCCCAAGTGCCACCACCACCTTAGAAACAGGCTTAGGAAAAGGGATGGAAGAAAGGTTGAGCAAGCCACGGGGAGCAAGGAGCAAGCTAGGATGCAGCACTCCTCCATGTTCTCTGCTTGAGTTTCTGTCTCTAGGTTCCTGCCCTGACTTCCCTTCATGATGTAGCTTACAGCTACAACTGTAAGCTGAAATAACCACACACACATACACACAAAGTTGCTTTAGAAACCTAAGGTAAGATTTTCTAAAAGATGTTTATGTGTTTATGTCTGTGCTACTATATACCACATGTGTGCTGTTGCCCACAAAGACCAGAAAAGGGCATTGGAACTGGAGCTGGAATTACAAATAGTTGTGAGCTGCCTGACATGGGTGTTTAGAACCCTCAGGTTTTCCAGAAGAGCAGCAAGTACTCAAGTACTCTTCACTGCCAAGCTAGCGCTCTCTCTCTCTCTCTCTCTCTCTCATTTAATGTGCATTGGTGTTTGTCCAACATGTATGTTTGTGTGAGGGAGTTGGATCCACTGGAACTAGAATTACGACACTTGTGAGCTGCCATATGGGTGCTAGGAATTGAACCCAGGTCCTTTCGAAGAGCAGACAATGCTCTTAACCACCAAGTCGTCACTCCAGTCCCAGCTGAGCTATATCGCTCTAGCTCTGTTTTTCGCTTTTCAATAATTGAGGAAATTAACCTGCCTCCGTGCCTGGGCACTTGCAGCACTAGACAGCAATCCATGGACAAGGTAAAATCACCCACACTACTGCTACTATCCCTATGTTCAACTCTCACTGCCCTTGTACCACTTGTGCTGCTCACCAGAGACAAAATCCTGTTGACAGGCACCATGCCTGGCCGGATGCTGCTGCCCGACTTCAGTGCTGCCTGAACATCCTCCGGAATGACAAAAGACTCATTGTACCAGATGTCAAATTCTGCAAGAGTCAGAGACACAGCACTGTGAGGTGTGAGGGAGCTTGTGGGGAAGCAGGCAAAGGCCATTTCAGGCTCACCTCTGTTCACTTCCTGTTCCCCTGTTCTCACCATCCCCAGCTGTCATAGCTGTGGAAAGTACACACCTGAAGCTTCTGCCCAAGCCCTGGCCCTGCAGTGAGCAGGTCAGGGAGCACTTCTAGAACTGACCCTTGGCCTTGCTGTAAAGCCTCTCTTGACCTCAAGGAGCCTGCCAACCTTCCCAACTGGAATACCCATGAGCAGGCGATGTCGACACTGGTCCACCAGGCGCTGGCAGTACTGGATCTCAGCCCTGAGGTCTCGCAATTCTTGGTACTCATTTCGATACTGCTGCTTCAGGTCTTTGAGCTTCAAGATCAGCAGAAATTCCTCCTCATCGATGATCATCAGGCCTTTGTTCTCATACTCACCTGCAGGGTGATGGGAGAGATCGGGGAACAAGGTGATAGTCAATCAGGGCAGAGGAAGGACAGTGCTCCAAAAAGATGACAGTGTTGGCAGAAGCCTGGAGGCATGGGCGGCCGTGACAGGAGTGTGCAAAGCATAAGAGGGTGAGCACATCCACAGGGAGGGCTGGTGAGCTCGGTGGGGCCTGGCCGGCATTTTACAAGAGGCAGGGGCTGGGCGGAGGACAGAGAGGGGCCACGTATCATGTTCATTTTATCTTGTCACATCAGCCAAAGATAGTCACCCTTTTAAAGACTTTTTTCTTTTGAGATAAATAAATAAATAGATCCTCAGAGATGGATTAGTAGGAGGCCAATATGGAAAAGTAGACACTGATTTGCAAGAGTTCGGGGACAGCTCTACTAAGGACAGCCTGAAGCTGGCAACAGCAGCCAAATCTTGCTGTGTGTAGATAATCATGCTCATTCCAAGTTTGGGGCCATGAACACTCCCATTCCTGAGAGACCCAAACCTCTAATATAATCCATGTCCTTTATCATGACACCTCTGTATCCAGGCAGGGTTTATAGATGATGTGGGTGTAGTGAGTTAGCTTGATGGACAAAGCTTTGGACTGTGATGACACACACCTTTAATCCCAGCACTAAGGAGGCAGAGGCAGGCAGATCTCTGTGTTCAAGGCCAGCCTGGTCTATAGAGTGAGTTCTAGAACAGCCAGGGCTACACAGAAAAACCTGTTTCGAAAAGCCAAAATAAAACTTTCTTTGCACTCCTGTGGTGTATCCTGCCATTTTTTTAATCCCCGTCAATGGTACCCATCTTTGCAAGATCATAAAATGAACTGCCTTGTTTTCTCTACTGAGCCTCCAGTGCTCATTCTAAGTGGTGGGAGAGGGGGGCTTTGTTCCTTCAGGCTACGGGCCAGTTTCTCCATGGAAACACATATCAGGAGAAACAGCACATATTAGGAGAAAGGCTCAGGAGTTAGTTCTGAAATAATGCAGTAGACAGCAACATTGGCAAAGGCTAGCTGGCAGGAAGGGCTGCCTAGAGCCTAGTGAGATGACATAGGTCTGCACCCTAAAGCATTCCATTGGTCTCCTCAATCTTGGTCCTTTAGTGACTAAGGCTAACACAGTTACAGCATGGTGACTTGGAGTTCCCACATCACCCTGGCCATCTTCCCTTTCCATCTACCTTGCTTCTCCCGTAGCGACTTTTGGAAATTCAGTGCATCTTTGGTCACGTCAATCTCCCGCTTGATGGCATTGATGCGCTGGGTTGTCTCGCTGGCCCTTTTCCTTCGTTCATTCAAGATGGATTTGTTTTCTTTGAAGATACGGTTGATCTCACTACCTCGTTCATTCTTAAACTCTTCAAAGGCCACAGGCTTAGAGGGTGGGGTACTAGGTCTGGGGACAAAGGGAGAGGTCAAAGGAGAAAGAAAAGGAGCAGCTGCCTTGGAGACACAAAGTATTTCATCTTTCTTCCTTGTGAGGGCAAAGGGTAGAGATCCTGGGTACTATTTGTGTCAGATTATTTAAGTTAGTCTGTAGGAATTAACCCCTCATCTTCGTTCTATGGGCCCATGTCCACTCAGGAACTAAGGAAAGAAAAGAAACTGAAAACAAAATCACTTATCAGCAACCAGAATTTCTTGAATCTCTTGAGATAATTTGATATATTTTTAAATGGTTGGAGCCCCACAGAACATATGATCTTTTTTTTCCCCTCACACAGAGGTGTTATTTCATGGTACTAAAATTTCTCTGAGAGGGGTTCACGGTCTGGCTTTGTGGGTAAGAGTACATATGTCCTGAAAGTATGAATACCTGAATTCATACCCCTATGTTATATAGCATCTGTCCATGAGGGGAAAAGCAAGCTCTTTTGGTCACTCTTCTATTACTGTGAAGTTACCACGACAACAACTCTTTAAAAATATATTGGGGGCATGCTTATAGTATCAGAGGCTTAGTCTATTATCATCATGGTGACAGGCATAGCAACATGGTGCTAGGAAAACAGCTGAGAGCTACAACCTGATCCAAAAGTAGAGTGAGACTCTGGGCCTAGTGGGCTTTTGAATCAGCAAAGCTCATCCCCAGTGACATACTTCCTCAAACAAAGATCTTCTAATCCTATGAAAGAGTTGCACTCCTGGCATTCGAAGATATGAATCTATGGGGACAATTCTTATTCAAACCAGTATAGGAGCCGTGAAACTCATAAGTCTCAGGAAGTTCCTGAAACTAACAAGATTTACCAAGCCCTTTTCTCGAGGTTATATAAGCGCTAAACTGCTAGAAGAGGAGATTCTTTGACTTATCCAGTTGAATAGAAGTCGCACAGAGTTCCAGGAGTGTAATTTTTGTAAGTCATCACCAAGACTGGGGTAGGCAACTGCTTTTATCTGTGCTCCTGTAAGTAACTCCAACAGAGTCATTGGACTCTGGTGGCACTGTAAGTTTGTTCTGTCACTGGTTCCTTATCTAGAGTAAACAGACTTTGGTTCAAGGCTCCTAGGAAAAGTCTCATATAATAGCACAGAACCTACATAAGAATCCAGGCATCATGTCTGTATCTCCAGCACTACAGGGCAGAAACAGGCAGATCTGAAAGAGTGCCAATCAGCCAGCTTAGCTGAAACAGCAAGCTTCCAATTTATTGAAAAACTGTGTCTCAAGGTTTATAGCAAAGAATAAGAGAAAAAGACACTAGATGTGCTGCACAGACCTTAGGATGCAGACATGAGCTTGTGTGCCCATATGCTCATGTGCATGCACCATACATACATAACCCCATGCACAAAATTCTCTGAGAACCTCAATTAATGTGATACCACTGTTGGCACAGAGGGATGTGGGCTGCTGTTGGCAGCTTATATTTGAAATTTACTTTCTTATTATCATTTATTACAATTTATTCAATTTGTATCCCAGCTGTGGCCCCCTCCCTCGTCTCCTCCCAATCCCACCCTCCCTCCCTCTTCTCTCCTTATGCCCCTCCCCTAAACTAGGGGATAGAAATGTACTTTTAAAAAGACAACACAAGATGGAACAAATGTAAGAGTCTGCCAACAGAAATAAGAAGGCTCTGGGTGTATGGGCATTCACTGTGCAACTTTTAACTTCTCTGAACATTCTGAAATGTACATAGGCTCATACATTCTTGCACAGCCCAGGGTAAGAGATAACAATTTATTTGATGCCCTTTATCTAATATTAACTATTGAAAGTGTTTACTTTTTAAATTTTTATTTATTCATTCATTCATTTTGCTTTTTTTTTTTTTTTAAGATGGTATTTCTCTATGTAGCCCTGACTGTCCTGGAATTCATTCTGCAGACCCGGCTGGCAAAGTGGTGTTTACTTTTTTTTTTTTTTTTTAAGATTTATTTATTTTATTATATATACAATGTTCTGCCTGCATGTACACCTGAATACCAGAAGAGGGCATGAGATCCCATTATAGATGGTTATGAGCCACCATGTGGTTGCTGGGAATTGAACTCAGGACCTCTGGAAGAGCAAGTAGTGCTCTTAACCTCTGAACCATCTCTCCAGCCCCCTGATGTTTACTTTTTTAAAAATATTTTTTTCATTAACAATGTGATGATCATGTTTTTTCATGTCCGTACTTTTATTTCCTTTAGCCTGGATTCCTAAAGCTTTAAGACCTCTCTCTTTCTCTCTCTCTCTCTTTCCCTCTCTTTGTTGTGCATCAGAGTATATGAATGTAGGCAGGAGATCAGAAAACATCACGTGTTGGTTCTTGCCGTCTGCTTTGTTTGAGACTCCTTCTCTTTGTTATTTTTCTACAGCAAATGCCAAGCTAGCTGTGCTGACACCTCCCACATATTCTCCCATTTCTGCCACTGATCCTACTGTAGGAACACTGGAGTAGCAGGTACTGTGCTGAACATTTAGCTTTTCACATGGGTTCTGGGGAATCCTGCCTCAAGTCATCACAATTGCATGGGAAGTCTGATATATCATAATTGGCATCTAACTCTTTGTAGTGAAGGGTCACCTTAAATTCCTAATCTTCCTGCCTCTACCTCCCAAGTGCAAGGATTCTACATGCCAGGCTTTTAGAATGCATTACTTATACAAAAGGCACTTCACTTTAACATAACTGATATATGGTAGTTCTAAAATGGTGTATGTGTGCACCACTATAGCAAGTGTTTGGAGAAAACAACTTATGGGAGTTAGTTCTCTCCTCCAGCCTGGCTGGACTGAACTCATATCATCAGAACTGGTGGCAAGTTCCTTTACTAGCTGGACTACCTTCCCAAAATGATTGTCTGACTGTGTATCATGGCAGACTGAGGTCTGACCATAGTGCATGCATACACATTGTCACCTTTCTTCCTTTAACCATCTCTGAGTCCCTGCTTATTTCTTTTCTGTTGTGAGCACCCTTTACCTAATGTATAAGGATCACACTCTAGTTTGGGTCGACTTGAGCTAGTGGACCATTTGTCTTGAGATGGTTACCTGGGTGGGCGTGCTTCATCTTTTGGAGAGTCTGAGGAAAGGTGCTCAGCCAGGGAAGGCTCTCTGTCACGTTGAATCATGTCTTTGATATCCCCATCTTTGGAAGAAGAGATTAGCTGGGTCTTAGAGATGGAAATCATATCAAGGTCCTTGCCACTCACAGGACTGCTGGCACCTTCCTTTCTTGCTAAGGCGCTGAAAAACATCAGGAAAATACCAAGGCCCAGGCATGGGCAGTGAGAAACTAAAATGGTAAGATGAGACCTTTCTCAAGTCTACTAGACCAAGCAGCCTACTACATTCAGCTTGTTTATTTTATCCATGAATCATTTACTTACTTACGTACGTACTTACATGTTTGCTTGCTTGCTTACTTACTTAAGGCAAGGTCTTACTCTGTAGCCCTGGCCAGCCTAGAACTCACAGAGATCTGCCTTCCTCTGCTTCCTATGTGCTGGAATTAAAGAAGTACACTACGATACCTGGCAGCTGGAAGCTACTATCTTTTTAAAAAAATATATGTATATATGTGGACATGTGCACATCAGAGCAATGTACACACCTGGCATCCCTAGGATGCCAGAGATGTCAGATTTCCCCAGAGATGGAGTTACTGGCAGTTGGGAGCCACCTGACATGGGTATTGGAAACTGAGGTACTCCCTATGAGCAATACACACTTCCCCCCTTCTTTTAGAGTAAAAGAAGATCTCGCATATCTCAGGAGGGCATACAACTTCCTAGGTAGCTGAGGATGATTTTGTGCATTTCATCTTCCTGCTGAGAATCCTGGAGTGTGAGAGCATGCTCACTTTGTGTGGTGGTTAATAGCGAAGCCAGGACTTTGTGTATGCTGGCAAGCATTGCGCCAGCAGAGCTACATCCCATACCCTTTTATCATTTCTGGCTTCCATCTTCTCCTCCTTCATTTGTTCCCCCTTCTTCTTGCTTTTCCTGTTTCCCTCTTCCTTTCTTCCTTCCTTCCTTTCTTTTTTTTTTTTTTTTTTTTTGGTGTGTATGTGTATGAGATGGTTGTATCATGTAGCCCAAGGAGACCTCAAACTCATTTTTTTAAAATTTATTATTACTGTCTGTGACAGAGTCCATGATTATGGGAGGGCTCAGGGGATAACTTTGTAATATGTTCTCTTCTGCTTTCAGCTCCACAAATGAGCTTCTTAGGCTTGTGTAGCAAGTACCTATGGGGCCATCTCACCAGCCCTGACTTCACAGTCTTATGGCCTCAGCCTCCTAGGTGCTGGGATTGCAGGCTTGGATAACTCACAAACCCAGCCCCCTTTCTTCTTAAAACAAGTATTACTGAGAGGACCAGCCTCCATGTAAATTATTACTCCAGTTCCCTGAGCAGAACAGAGAGTCCCAGAACATAGCAGGCATCACTAGAATCAGGATGTTCTCTGCTCCACGACTCCTGGCTTGCACATGGAACTTCCTAACAGTCTAGTTGGCGAAAGTGTAAGGACTATATGCCCTAACTTAAACTCCTCACAAGGCCATCAGCTCTGATGCTATCATTATTACTATCATTATTCCCATTTTAGGGAGCCAGGCACTGTGGTACACACCTGTAATCCCAGTACTCAGAGAGGCAGAGGCAGGCAGAGTTCTAGGCCAGCCTGGTCTACAAATCGAGTCCAGGACAGCCAAGAATACACAGAGAACACTGTCTCAAAGAGAAACAAAAAACAAAAACAAAAACAGATTCCCATTTTTAGGGATACTAAAACAGGTTCAGGGGTGGATGGGAAAGGAAGCTCCCCTTGGCTGAGGAAAAGGGGAGGAGGAAAGAGGAGGGATAGGGGGTGGGACTAGAAGGAGAGAAGGGAAGGGGCTACAAGGATGTAAAGTGAATAAAATAAATGTGAAAAAAATAGGTAGAGATCAGTTCTCATGCCTCACAGGAGGTCTCTTAGGATAAGGTGAGCCCAGGTCTTTAGTCTGAAATCTAGGCTCTGGATACTGCTACTAGGCATGACCTGGGCAGCAGACTGGGGGGAATATTTTCTCCAACTTACATATAAAAAATGAGTCATAGCTGAGAGGGATGGGGCACACCTATAATTTAAGCTTTGGAGAACATGAGTATCACCATGACTCTGAGACCAGCCATCCTTGGCTATAGTGTGAGACTCTTTCTCAACTTCCCCCAGGATTCCCCCACCAAAAGAAAAAGAATGAGTTTAGGATTTAGATGGCTTAAGCACCAGTTGGAGGTGAAAGAGTCGGAAGTATCACAGAAATGCGGCAGCAAGAGTGACGCTCTAGTGCTGGCAGGGCTGGCCTAGCTCTTCCCTGCAACCCTACTGCTCAACAGTGACATAACATTGGAGAGTAACTCAGTAAAATGGAAAAACCGGTTCCACTTCATGAGGGTGCTATGAGGATGAATGGTAGCGCTTGGGGTATGGCACTGCCCTGAACCCTCCAGATCTCCCACAGATTACCCCACTACTACATTGGCAGTAGTACAGTAGTGAGCACTGGCAGCTAAATGCCATGGGAAAGGGGGAGGCCACATTGTGCCTTCCCTCTACCAAGGAGCCTAGTGCTAAGGAGACAAAGCAGAAGCGCTCTCACCTGAACTGCTCTTTCACTGTCTTCTTGGACTTGGGTTTCTTCCCAGGTTTGGCAGCAAAAGAAGCAACCCCAAGTCCAAAGCTTTGTCCATCGGGCTCACCCACCAGCTGACCTTTCAAATCCATAAGCCCTGCCTGGATAGAAAAGTCAGGAGGAGGGGCATTGGTTATATTAGAGGTTTGGGTCTCTCAGGAATGCAAGTGTTTATGGTACAAAACTTAGGGTGAACATGTTCTCCAAACATACCAAGATTTGGCTGTTGCTGCCAGCTTTAGGCTGTCCTTAGTAGAGCTGTCCCTGAACCTTAGAAAATCAATGTCTACTTTCCATATTGGCCTCCTACCAATCCATCCTCCTGAGGGGGGAATCAAAGGCATACCTCACCATACCTATCTCCCTAAGAATCTTGAGACCTATTTCCAAGATAGCTCAAGCATTGGTCATGTATGTTATTAGCCATATGTCCAAGTTATGAACATCACTTTCTTTTTCTTTTTTTGTTTGTTTGTTTTTCAAGACAGAGTCTCTCTGTGTAGCCTTGGCTGTCCTGATCTTGCTTTGTAAACCAGGCTGGCCTCGAACTCACAGAGATATGCCTGCCTCTGCCTCTTTGAGCTGGGTTTACAGGTATGTGCCACAGGGTCTGTCAGGATGTCATTTTCAATGTAAAAGTGGTATACTATTTTTTTTTTCTGTGTATGTATGTGGATGTGGAGAAAGGTCAACCTTGAGTGTTATTCTTCAGGGAGCAATCTCTTACTGGGTCTCTCGCTGGCCTGGAACTCACAAACTATGCTAGGCTGGCTGGCAAGAGAGCACCATAGATGGGCCTATGTCTTCCCAGAGCTTGCATTACAAGGATGAACCACCATGCCCAGCTCTTTTACATGGGTTCTAGGAATTGAACTGACGGCCTCATGTTTGTGCAGCAACCGCTTGCTTACTGAGCTATCTCTCCAGCTCCTTAGGTGGTTTACCCTTCCACAGGGAGCTCCAAGTTCATCCTGGTATGATCTTGATCTGGGAACTCTTAGCTCTGGTTTGATGCATGACACTTGCAGTTTCTGCCCAAATATGGAAAGTAAGAAATGAGTGATGTTAGCAAGAGGCAACTGTGCTTACCTTCTGGACAGCAGAAATGGCTGCAAAGTCATTCTTGTCTATGAGAGTGTACTTCCTGCGCAAGGCAGACTCTATTTCCTGCTCCTGTTGGCTTGGGAGAGAGAGTGAGACACCACTTTATAATGGGGGCTATGTTGAGTCCACTGGCCCCCATTAATACCCCAGTACTAGAGTAAAAGTTGGCTAGGTAAAGCCCTGGTGATGGAGCCACAGCCTCATCAAAGCCAAAAGACAATGCTAACAAAAGGGTCCCTCCCTATTCACAGTGTACACATACCCCATTGTCTAGTCCACAAACCTATAGAGCCACATTACATGCCATGTGCATCAGCTCTAAGATGACACTTAACAATGCCCGTAGGCCTGCAAGGGGACTGTGATGTCACCTAGGTTCTAAAAAGCCCTTAGAATCAAAGGACCATTCTGATACCAGCAGCATTAGCTGCTCAGGCAATGAGTAGATCTACAAGTGTAAGTGCTCCTTGAGGTAGTAGATGTGGAGGGTTCATGCCTGGCTCTGGGCACTCTCACAGCTGACACTCCAGAGAGTTCCTGTCCAATTAATGAGCTCAGCAAACATCCACCAGGGACCTGCATACATCCTAAACACTCAGATCTGGTTCCTCACATAGCAGAGGATGTTCTCAGACACACACACACACACACACACACACACACACACACACACACAGCCCTCTCACACACACACGAGGGTTTTCTTGAAGGCTAGTGCCCAAGGCATAGAAAATGAAAATGGAAGGTGAAAAAGAGTGAGGAGGGGCCAGTAGGATGAGACTTACCTCAGAACCACTCGGAACTGGTTGAATACCTCCTGAATCTGTCTTAGATTGATTATCTAGCAGAAGAGAGCAGAGTTTAGATGATGGTACCTGGGAATGAGGCTGTGTCCGAGCAGAGAAGTCAGGACCCTTGGCTGGCTCTGAACCATCTCATTTTGAGAATATGTGTAGAAACCTCTTAGCAGGTGCTGGAGAGATGGCTCAACAATTAAGGGCATATATTTCTCTTGCAAAGGACACACTTGGTTCCCAGCACCCACATCAGACTCAGACAGCTGCCTTTAGCTGAAGTTCCAGGGCATCTGATACACTCTTTTAACTTCACAGGCAGACATACAAACCCACACTCATATATATATATATATGTCATATATATATAACATACATATATATATAACATAAAAATAAAATATATAAAATATATATATATAAAACATAAAAATAAATATTTGAAAAACTTAAAAAGTACTATTTGTGAAGGCTTAGAAAGTACTTATTTAAAGCTATTGATCTGTCAGTGGGGATGTAGCTCAGTTGGTGGAGTGCCTGCCTGTTGTGCAGGAAGCCAGGCCCAGTGGCACATGCCTGTTATCCCAGTACTTCGGAGGTGGAGGCAGGAGGATTAGAACTTCAGGAACATTCTCAGCTGTACAGCAAGTTTCAGGGCAGCCTGGGATATATAACACCCCATCTCAAAAAACAGACAAACAACAACAAGCTATTAATCAAGTATTAATCTATCTCTGCTCTTGGAAGTGGTATTAACACTTTGCTGAGAGGCTTTAAAAATGAGCATTCAGCCCAGGTCATTCAGCCAGGATGTACCTGAGAGTCCATCAGAGCAGCTTTACTTCAAGGCCTGTGCCCCTGAGATAGACTACCTCTGGTATAAGTTCCAGCCCACTGGACACTGTACAGCTCCATGAGTTTGTAACCCTAAACATGGAAGCTAAGGCCGTGATGGGCTGAAGGGCCCTTAACAAGGGTCCACACCACTTCACATCTGCTGCAGCCATTCTATATCAGACAGTACTCAGGATGGAAATGGAATTCCAAGCGCGTTGAGTATGGTGTTCCCACAGCAGGGCTCCTTACGTCAATCTCGTCCAGTGTCCCCTCCAGGTACCTCCGCACTTGGGAGTTGATCTCAGCAATCTGGATCTCATCCATGGGGTCGTAATTCACGAGGGTGCGGTTGGACTTGAAGGATAGAAGAACATGTGCTACATAAGCAACAAGAACCTGAGCCCAAGAAGGGGCAGCAGGGGCATCCTGAAAGCCAAAGCATGGAGCTGGGTACAGTGACTGAGTGCTGTGCTAGCTCTTTGCTTTACTATCTGGTCCTGGCAGGGAAGGCCTGAAAAGCAGGCCAGGTGCATGGGTCAGAGAGAGAGACTGGGGATGAGAAAGAAGAAAAAGTCACTGTAGATCCTGCTGCTCCAAACCCGAGTCTCAGCAAACCACAGGGTAGAGAGATGCTGGCTTTGCCTTCAGGACATCAGAATCATGAGCATAAGCCTAAAGGGGCCACTGGAGGACTCCACCTTCCCCAAATGCCTATTTCTGGTCCTTTCCTACTACCTAACCCATGCTACTGCCCTGGATTTCACCCACCATGCTGTTTGCCCCTGCTCTCTGTTCCCCAGCAACCTTCCCTCCTCCCTATATCCGGTCCCTTACCAGACTATCATGGATGGCCAGTTCCTGCTTAAGCAATGCCAGCTCTTTTTCCAAGTTCTTGACCATTCTCTGCCAGGGGAAACATAATTAGGGAAGAAGGTCATCAGAAAAACTACCTGGCTCCTTCACATCAAATGCCCAATTTCTGTTTTGTTTTTCAAGACAGGATTTCTTTGACTAGCCTTAGCTGTCCTGGAACCCACTCTGTAGACCAGGCTAGCTGAGAACTCACAGAGATCCGCCTGCCTCTGTCTCCAGAGTGATGGAATTAAAGGTGTGCAGCACTAAGCCAGACATGTGTTCAATTTCTTAATTTGTATCCAGATACCCTGGTTATTCCTGGTAATACAGAAAAATGTGTTCTCAGTTTGTAGGCCATTCCTCGTAGTTGGTGACCCTTCTCCAACTGGATTGAACTTATGGTCTAAGATGGCTGTAAAAATTTGAGCCAGGGTCTCATGTCGACCACACTGGCTGTAAAGTCATTATGTAGGACAGAATGATCCTAAACTCCTGATCCTCCGGGCTCTCCCTACAAAGTGCTGGGATTACAGCCATGTGCTACCATGATGGTGTCTTATGCTTTAGATCTTAAATGTCTACAGAAGGCTCATGTGGTGAAGACTTGATCCTGTGTTAATCGCGTTTGTTGCTGTAACAAAATATCTGAGCAAGCCAGATGGAGTAGTACACATCTTTAATCCCCACACTCAGGTGGCAAAGGCAGGCAGATCTCTGTGAGTTCAAGACCAGCCTGGGCTACATAACAATTTCCAGACCAGCAAGGGCTACATAGTGAGACCCTGTCTCAAAAACAAACAAACAAATCTGAACAAATCCTTTGGGCCCAAAATTAGGTTTAATGTGATGGAAGGGAGAAGGTGCTGAAGCGAAGCTGTTCACCTCATGGTGGCCAGGAAGCAGAAAGACTGAGAAATGATCCCAGAACAAATGCACATCCCAATAATTTGCCTCCACCTGGGTCCACCACCTTGTAATAATCAATGAACATTCTTTGGACTGGGGTATGGCTTAGTTGTCGATCAGGTGGGGATCAAGCTCTAGCACCACAAAAAAAGAAAAATCACGTGTGGTGTATGCACGTAATTCCAGCACCTGGTAGGTGGAGGCAGGAAGATCAATAACCCAGGCCAGCCTTTGTTACATAGCATAGAGGTGAGCCTCGGCTATACTGCAACTGTCACAAAAGTTTTTAAAGGAGGAAGGGGAGGGAAGGGAGAGGGAAGAAGGCAAAAGAAAAGTGTCTGGCATATGGAGAACACCATAGATTCAAGTACTTAAAAATGATAAATTTTTGGGAATTAGAATTTGCCAAACCATGCCAGTGGTTGTGACATACACCTTTAATCTCAGCATTAGGGAGGCAGAGGCAGGTGGATCTCTGAGTTTGAGGCCATCTTGGTCTACAGCTAGGACAGCCAGGTCTACACAGAGAAATCCCGTCTCTGAAAAAAATAAAAAAGAACTTTCCATGTCACTTACATTTGATATTTGAGAATATTTTGTAAAAGAGGCACAAGGAATTTCTGAGACCTCTCATGGGGAACAGGCTTTTCTTTGCCCCAAAAGTACCACTGGAGGGAGCTGCTGCCAAAACAAGTGAGCACAGCTGCATCTAGTGGCAGGTCCAAAGGTCTCCTCAAGCCACAGGCCGGCTATAGTCTAGCCTCCTTCAGTCCGATCACCTGGGTACTGAGGCTCGCCTGTTACCATGCGCGTGCACAGCAAGGGCTGACAGAACCCTGACATCATGGTGGCTCTGTGGCAATTCAGACACAAAGCCTAAGATTTAGGCATGTGATCAGAATCCAAATTCAGGCTCAGCCTTTTAGGAATTCCAGGTAGGCCTCCTTCTCGTGTGGACTGTCTTTTGGGCCAAGGGGAAAAAGGGTTGGTGGCTCTTCTCAGCCATCTCATCCTCTCCAGTCTAGAAAATGCATTCAACCTCAAACAGAAAGCCTGGTTGAGGTGCTGGCGGCTGCCACTGGATAACTCTGTTCAGCGTGTCACAGGGGCATGTGGTCCAATCAGAAGGTGAGTGGTGTAGCGGACTCTCTTGGGAAAACCCGGCCTCCAGCTTACTCTGAGAACAAGGGAACTGTTTCTCCTAATGCTTGACAGGTGTAGCATTCCCTCCTACTGCCTGGGGAGCAGCTGCTAGGAAACAGAGCTGCAGCAGCAAACCCCGCAACTCAGGGTTCTGAAAGCACCTCCTATAACCATACACACAATGCAGACACACACATGAAAAAAAATCTGTGAAAGACAGTTTGCCAAAGCTCCAAAGATAATAAGGAACAAGACACTGAACTAGGGTGGTTCAACCCAAAAGCAGCAAATGCAGTAGCTGTGAACACAGAAACACAAATCCTCACCAGGCTGTGGTGGTACAGTCTGTAAAGCCAGCACACAGGAAATGGAGATAGACATATCAGGCATTAGACTGGGCTATATAATGAGACTGTATCACAAAATGGAAGGCAAGGAGGAAAGAAACTGAAAGGGAAAGGGGGAGGAAGAAAATACTCAGGCCCCATCAGCAACAAAATCAGGAGCTCAGAATGGACAGGGGTTTAGTCTAACCCTTCCTGAGTTTAAGAACCAGAGCTCTGAGCTCTGCTTCCCTACTAAACCATGGTTAGTCCCATGATGGCATCATCCTTCGGGATTTATGACCTAGAAACTATAACCCCAGGAACACAGAGACATGCACATGCCCATCTTCAGCAACTATGATTTCATAAGCACCTTTTTCACTGATTTAAAAAAAAATGAAACATTTTTATTTTATACATATGAGTGTTTTGCCTCCCCCCCCCCCGTGTGTGTGTGTGTGTGTGTGTGTGTGTGTGTGTGTGTGTGTGTGTGTGTTCCTGGGTCCCAGGGAGGCCAGAAGAGCATATTAGATTCCTTAGAACTGGAGTTACAAATGGTTGTGAGCTGCCATGTGGGTTCTGGGAATGTAATCCAGGTCTTCTTTGAGAGCAGTAAATGCTTTTAGCCACTGAGTCATCTCTCCAGCCTGTAGGTTGATTTTTGAGCCTGTCTCAAGGAGCCTAGGCTGTCTTTGAACTCACGATCTTTCTGAAAACTGACTCCTACAAGTTGCCCTTTGACCTCCACATATGTGCACACACATATACATGCACACATATCCACACAATATAAACAAATGTGAGAAGGTTCTATAGTGGCATGCAGGCAATTCTGAGAGACGATGCATGCTGATTCAGCTCTGAAGCAATCTCATAGGGAATCCTGGGGTACCTGAGTCCCTGGAGGCCCCACATGTGAACTGAGTGGTAGATCATCTAGTGCTTTCACTTTTGTGGCAGTGCAGCAGGATCCCTAATGACTCTTTAAAGATGCTGGATTATGACTGAAAGGAAAAGGTTTGACCCAGGACTCCAAGCAGAACTTCAGTGGAGGCAGGAAGGAAACCACACAGGTCTGGCTTCCCCTATGACCTCCACCAGATACCCAGGTGGTAACAAACATACAGGGAGAAAACCCACAGACATCAATCCTGAAGTTGGGCAGCCATCGGTTGTACCTCAGCATCATACTTCTCGTTGATGGCAGGCTCAGTAGTGACCAGCTTCATCCTGCTGGCAAACCTCAGTGATGACAACTGAAAACAGACCAGACAAATGTCAGGTGGCTCACCGCTCACGCTCACAGGGGACCCCAAAGATCAGCCCTCTCATAGGGCATGTCCTCTTCAGACTCTTCCAGTTGCCTTAACTGCTATTAGTTCACCTCTTCAAGGGAACACTGATCAAAAGGGAATCTGGGGGTCTGAAGATGGAGGTGAGTGATATAGAAACTGATTAGCATGTGGAAGGCGCTGGGGTTCAATTCTTAACACCGAATTATAAAACTAAAAAGGGTAAAGCAGGCATGGTGACACATGCGCTTAAGAGGTGGCAGCAACAGGATCAGGAGTTTAAGATCATCCTCAGCTACACATCAAGTTGGAGGCTAGCCTTGGTTATATTAAACTCAGTACCAAACATACATAAACAGGGCTGGAGAGAAGGCTCAGCAGTTAAGAGAGCACACTGCTCTTCCAGTTCAGTTCCCAGCACCCACGTTCAGGCAGCTCACAGCTGCCTGTTAGGCTAATTTCAGGGGGGGAATCTGACCCTCTTCCAAGCTCTATGGGCGCCTACACTCACAGGCACATACACATATTCACAGATACACGTACACAAAACACAAATAAATCTGAGAGGTCTTCAGTGGGGTAGGGAACGGAGGAGTAAGACAAGGAAGTTGATAGAGGCATCTGCTGTAGCACTATGCAGACACCAGTCCAGTCCTCTCTCCCTCTCTTCCTCTGTCTCTCCCTGCGTCTTTTCTTCTTTCCCTTCCCTCTCTCCTTCTTCTTGCCTTCCTTTCTTCTTTCCTTCCTTCCTCCCTCCCTCCCTTGAGACAGGGCCTTGACATGTAGTCCAGGCTAGCCCCAAACTCACAGACATCCCACCCGCCTTGCCTCTGTCTCCCCAATACTGGAATTAAAGGCATGGCATGTGCCACTATGCCTGCTGCACACTGATCTGTTAGTTTTCCTCTGCGGTGATCACATCCAGGGCCTTATGCTCACCAGGCAAGCTTTCTATACTAATGAGCATCCTTAGCTCCACACTGTTCTAATTCTTAGTCCACACCTAGCCATCTTCCATCCAGATGCCTGTGCTTAAGCGACACCCTGCCTAAAGTACTCTTTCCTCCTACCCCTTCTACTCTCTGCTCTTTAAGGCACAAAGGCTTCCTGGTTCTCCTTCACATGAAAGGCACAGGCATGGTCTTCAGGAGGGGACCCTGCCCTTCTTTTTGTTTGAGACAGGGTTTCTCTGTGTAGGCTTGGCTGTTCTGGACTCACTCTGTAGAACAGGCTGACCTCAAACTCACAGAGATCTGCCTGCCTGCCTGCCTCCAACCCTTCCCTTCTTTATCTACTTCTTTGGGTCTAGACCAGCGAAGTCTAAAAGAAATAATGTGTAACCATTATTAATATTCATTATTAAAATTTTCCTTTGTTTGTTTTTTGTTTTTGTTTGTATGTTTTCTTGCGACAGGGTTTTTATATGTAGCCCTGGCTGTCCCAGAACCCTCTCTGAAGAGCAGGCTAGCCTCAAATTCACAGAAATCTGCCTGCCTCTGCCTCTAGTGCTAGGATTAAAGATGTGCACCACCACACCTGGCAAAAAGCCAGGGGTGTATCTGGGAAGAAGAGCTCATTTGATAAAGTGCTTGACTGCACAAACATGAGGGCCAGAGAACTTGAGTTTGCTCCCCAGAATGCATGTAAAGAAGCCTGTGTGGGGGCATGAGCTTGTACTCTCTAAGCTGGTGAGGTACAGACTGGTAGATCCATGGGGTTTGTTGGCCAGCCATCTTAGTCTTAATGGGCTACCTTCAGGTCACTGAGAGATCTATCCCAAAGACCAAGGTAGGGGCTGGGGAGATGGTTCAATGGGTAAGAGCAGTGGGTGAATGCAAGGCAGACCGAAGTTCAAATCCGCTGCCCCATGTAAAAGCCAGACATTGGCTATGTGTGCCTGTAGCCCCAGTGTTGGGGACCCAGAGACAGGAGAATCTAGGAGGTCACTAGCCAGCCAGCCTAGCCAAAACAGTAAGATCTGGGTTCAATGAAAGACTCTTCCTCAAAAAATAAGGTTGATAGCAACAGAGGAAGAAACCTAACATCATCCTCTGGCCTCCACATGCTCAGTATTATATCACTGCAATAGAAAGAAAACTAGGACAGCACAAGCCTGATGACCTGAGTTCAGTCCCTGAAACTCGCAGTGGAAAAAGAAAACTAACTCCTGAAAGTTGTGCACTGGCCATGTGTGCCCCTCCTTAATAATACTGATGATGATACATCTTAGAAGTGAAAAGCTAGAGATATAGCTCAGTGATAAGATACTGCCCAGCACGTGTGAGGCGCTCGGATCAATCCCTAGCAGTGCCGAAAAGAAAAACTGGCCAGCTACGGTGATACAGGCCTGCAATCCTAGCACTTGGGAGGTGGAAACAGAAGGGCCTCCGTGTTTTTTATGGCTATATATTAAGCTCAAAAACAGATGGCATACATGTGTATATGACACTCTCTCAAGAAATGCCCCCCAAAGAAAAAGAAAAAGGAGAAGAGGAAGAAGAGGAGGAGGAGGAAGAAGAAGAAAAGGGGAAGCAAAACAGAAGCTGTTCCAAAGCAGACTTGAGGTCTCCTAAGTGACTTCTGGGGACCCTTCTGGGGCCATTGTGGCTAGAGGTCATGATCAGCCACATGAGTAGGCATCCTAGAAATAACCAATTTGCAGATGTTAGGTGAGGGGTGGAACACGAGCAGGCCCAGAGAAGGGGCCTTGCATCATGCTGGATTGACTGTCAGTGAAGAGGCCCTGAGGTGAGGAACAGGCTTGGTGGGGGGGGGGGGGTGTCCAACCCTGCAGGGGGCCCAGGAAGGACTGTTAAGCTTCTTCCTCAGGGGTGTAGTTTGGCTGGTTAAGCGCTCAGCCACTGGACACTTGAGTGACCTTAGATACATTTCACCACTTCCTTGTACAGGGATGGGAGGCCTGCCTGTGAGTCCCGGGAGACTCTGCGCAGTTTCTCACGTGCTCTGTTCGGAGAGCGCAGAAAGAAGCCTGGTTGTTGTTACAGGCGCTTGATAGTTTTATGGAGATCCAGCTCAGATTCCACTCCAAGCATGACTGTTGCTTTTGTTTAGGACACTGGTCCCCCATCCCAGCCCGCAGACACACACACACACACACACACACACACACACACACACACACACAGATGCACACACAAACACACACTACTGTTATTACATAAAGTAATACAGTGTATGACAGGAATGTGTTTGTTACTTTTTAACATTTAGAGAAGAGATTCATTAGCATCCACTTTTGTTCCAAACCCCTAAGACTCTTCTGGGTCTGTGGATCCAGGCCTGGGCAGAGCCACGGGGCAGTGTGGGAACAAGGGCCTGGAGGTCCCAAGTGCTAGGAGAGTTGTGTCCTGTGCTCTGAGTATCTCAGGAGATGGGATTGGGTGGTGGCTTTAAACTGTGCTGGAAGGCATCTTTCTTCTTTTTTCTTTTTTCCTTGTTATAAAGCAGAGTTGGAGTTTATTAGTTTTGTTTGGTTGTTTTTAGTTTTTTGGGACAGGGTTTCCCTGCATAGCCTTGGCTGTCCTGGAACTCATTCTGTAAACCAGGCTGGCCTCAAACTCACAAAGATCTGCCTGTCTCTGCCTCCTGAGCGCTGGGATTAGAAGAATGAGCAACCATTGCCAGTATATTAAAGATATTTTTAAATAGATTTTTAAACGCGAGGATTAAGAGGAAGAGAAGTACTCAGAAAGTAAGACACTTATTACAGAATAAGCAATCACTGGCCTGCAGTACCGAATAACTCAGGAGAAAACAGTAGCCACTGAATCTCTGCAATATTAAATATGGGCCTGGTTAGTAGCAAGAACTGCCTTCCATTTTATTAAAGATACTCTTTGCCTTTCTTTTGTGTACATTTTAGTCAAATATGAATTATGTGTCATGAGGAACAGCCAACTCAGAGACCCCAAGGCTCTTTTGTTTCTTTTATTTTGCTTACAGGGTCTCAATATGTAGCCTTGGCCAGCCTGGAATTCATTCTGTAGACTAGGCTGGCCTCAGACTTACAGAAATCCTCCTACCTCTGCCAGCGGAGTGCTGGGATTAAAGACATTTGCCACCACGTCCAGCTCCGAGGCTCATTCTGAAAGCAGCACTTACAACAGGAATGCTTACTACAAAGCCACCTAAGTACCTCAACACCTGTATCCACCATCACGCCTTCCTATCCCAGAAACACATGGGGTAACCCCAAAATGGGTCCATCAAAATGTCCCAAAGGAGCATGAAGAGAGTTCTCAAGGGTACAGCTCCTCTTGGGGCTCAATTGTGCTTTGTTATGAGATGAGACCAAGAGGTTCCTAAACCGTTTCCCTGGGGCTTGCTGCTTCACGTCAGCTGGAGCTCCTTGGCTAGGCCTCCCAAGTCCCAGGGCGCTGAATGTGTGGCAAGAGCACTCTCCCCGTGTTGGGGCAGTCCCTAATGCATACAGGCTGGAGGCCCTACAGGCATGTCTTGCCTCACAGCATCCCTGGAAATGAGCCATTTCCCATAAATGAGCCCTCCAGATGGCTGAAGCTTGCCTTCAACATTCACAACAGTCAGGTGGCTAGGGACAGTTTTCCAAACCTGTCTTATAACAAGGGTACTTTGAAGGAGAGAGGGAAGCCCAGCCTGGAGTGGATTCAACCATTACTGTGCTGAACACACTTATTCCTGTCTGACATTTTCATGAAGGCCCCTCCTTAGGCCACCTGTGTCCTGCCACTGGATTATCTCTCTGAGTCACATCAGTGTCCATGACTCTGCCCTCTTCAAACTCTGTCCTGGCTCCAGCCATGTGCAGGAGAATAGCCAAGGGCTCTGCCTGGCCAGACCCGTCAAAGCCCTGCGATTTTCCTTTTTTTCCTTCTTAAGCCCTCCTGTAGAGTAGCATGATGCCCCTGGCATGAGCCACATCTTCAGTCCTGTTGTCACCTCTACCAGGAACACTTGTGTATCCTGCTGCCAATATTTTAATGCCACCCAGCTCAGTGTCCACCTAAGCTTCAGGGGGAAAAAGTCCTCTCCCCTCCCTGGCCTCTTCTGCCAGAACTCTGACATGATTGAGGGCCAGGGATTCTCTTTCTGCAGGGGCCTCTGATGCATTTCGACAGAACTATTCACCTCACACAAGGAGTACCCCTGAAAACATGTTCTTTATCCCCACAAAACTGCTCTCACTATGCCCTTCTTGTATAAGCCCCCAAGGTTAAGCCTATCTCACACCTTAGCTTCTTCCTTATATAGTTTATTGCCTGGTGTTTGGATTCTGGCCTCTGTTACCCTCTAAGCAGTTGTGGCTTAGATTCATCCCTGGGCTCCCTGACAATGCCGTTGATAGCGTACCATCTGAGCTAGTCTGGATCCAATCTTATCCCACCTTATCCCCCACCCCGACCCTGGGCACCCATGGGGACAAACTCCAGCCCAGTTGCATTGGCTGTCTCTACATACCGTTTCTTCTAACTGGGCAGCTTCTCCATAGATGTTGGTCACAAGGACCATATTGCAGTTTCCCCCTGCAGAAGGCGACATAAGAGACTCCTTTAGATTGACAGGGTTCTGGTATGGACTCAATGCTTGTATCCCCCAAAATCCATAACCTCAAAAATTCCAACTCCAAACAACCAGTCTTGTATATTTGGAGTGGTGCCTTCGGGAGATAATTAGTTTTAGATAAAGGCTTCCATATGCAGCCCCTCTGATGGGGTAACTGTCTTTGTAAGAAAAGAAAAACCAGAGCCATCTCATTCTCTCCACAGGAGGATACAGCCAAGAAGGAGCCAACTGTAAGCCAGAAACTGAATCAATCAGTACCTTCCTTGATCTTGGCCTTTCCAGCCTCTATAACTACGAGGAATACATTTGTCATCTAGGCCTCCCAGCCTATGGTGCTTTGCTTAACAGTCCGTGTTGACATAGAGGCAAGAGAAGACAACCCTAGTCAGCATGAGACTACGAGGCACAAGACAGAGGTAGGAATGGAGGGAGACCATGTGATGTACACAGAAGGAACCAGGAGAGAACATCAGAGAGGGAAGGTGGGAGCTAGGGCTTTGCAGGAAGGGAGGTGTAGGGCTTTGTTCAGGGCTAGCAACCAGAAGCCAGTGACTGCATCACTGACAAAGCCCTAAACAGGTGAGGATGACAAGGCAGCTCCCACTGTTCTGTCCAGGAAGACGAAGAGAAAAGGGGAAACGATAGGAGAGGACCTTTCTCTGAGTCTTCAGGTCCACAAAAGGTCTCTGCCAGTCTAGGGACAAGGCAGAAAGAGAAAATCTTCCCAGCAGAGGTGAAAGCTTGAGCAGAGAGTCTAAGGTAAGAACAGCAAGAGTGCAAGAAGGCTTGTCTGTTTGTCTGACTGGCATCACCTCTGAAGAGCCACAAATGAGTTTGTTCCCCTTGGTCAAAGTGATTCTCTGATCCCTGCCAGATGAGCTAGGCCTCGTCCTCCCCTGCAGAGACCCCTCCTCTCTGAGGACCAACCACACCCTCACCTAAGGAGTCTTTCAGGGCATGGGTGAGCTTGCACTGCCGGAAAGGGATGTGGTCCCGCTTCTGGTCGCCAAGGGCGATGATGGCCTGCTCCAGGAATGACAGTGACTTGTTGATGTAGGTGGCCTCCTTTAGGACTCTACCTTCCGACTGCAAACAAAATGTCCGAGTCACTCTGGACAGAGTAGAGAGGCTGCCTATTAAGACTGCCTACCCTTCCTGCTTTACAGTGAAGTGAAAGTCTACAGTCAGGCTGGAAGGTCCCAGAACCAGGACCTTTTTCTCCAACATGGGAGTGTTTTCCATCTTGGGCTACTGGCAATGGTAGTAGTAAAACTCACAGGAACATTTGTATGAAGGCTGTTTGATGTGAACAAGAATACATATGTGAATGTTCATATGTAGTCACCCGATACATATGCACATGAAATACCTGAGAAAGTAAGACTGTGAATATTCGCACAAATAGAGTAATACACACATGCAAATGTTCATCTAAATACTCCTGAGATTTTGCGTTAAGATATATTTCAACAACACATTAAATATACATGTGAAATATCATATCCATACATAGAGAAACACAATACCAATGTGGAGCATTTACTCAGCACTTTCTGAACAGAGGTAAGGGATAATGACAAGGAACCCAACTCTTTCCTGTCAAAAGAATGTTCACAGGAATGGAACCTTCATGATGCTATTGTGGTCTCTCTACTTTGTAAAACTGTTTGCACAAAGACCTACTGTATTTTCAAAATTTGATGACCCAGAGAGGCTGACACTTTCCCCTGATTCTTCTGCACCAATTTTCAAAACTAGACAGTCACCAAAGACTGTAGGGTCAGACCCCAGCCAAAGGAGAAACATCACAGCACTCTTGTTAGGATAAAAACCTATCCTGGTTTTGGTTGGGTGTGCCTGATACTTGAATGAAGCAAAAGTAAAAGCTTCCTTGCCAGTTTCCTTTCCCTTTGTGTGATACTCGTGAGGTCCCTGAGGTCCCTGAGGTCCCCTAACCCCAGGTGGTTTATTTCCAACATTGGCACCACGTTAAGGGAATCATCTCATGCAATGGTTACAAAGGCCCCGTGGAGTGCAAACTACGCTCTGTGGCTGCTGCTCGACCTCCAGTGACTCTTCCTCGCTGCATCCCACTTCTCCTGGTTGTTCTACCTGTGGGAAATGCATGTACACAGGCTCTACGCCACAGAGCCTGTGGCTTGTTGACAAACCACCCCACTCTTGTAAGTTGGCATGACTTACCCCTGTCTTGCCGAGCCTCTCTGAGCCTGCAAGATCTACCAAGTTGATTTTGGAAGTGATATACTTTTCATCTGATAAGGTCCGAGAATGGGCCTACAAAAACATCCCAACAGAACTTAGAATGCTGCAGAAGGAGCTTCTGACCAGATCGCACCCACAGAATCACCAGTCCTCGGGTTAAACAAAGAACTCGCACCTACCTCCATGTAGATGGTGAAAATGCAGTGTGACCTGGATGAATTTTTGTTCATTGTGTGGGAGGCGATGATCCTGTTGGTCTCTCCCTGAAGAGAAAAGGAAATGTATGCAGCACTTGGAAGCTGAAACCAAGGTATCAGAACCATTTCCCAACAGTCACACCATCGCTATCAGCTGGGCCTTCTGGGCAATGTCTTTTGAAAACTAATTAAACAGAAACAAACTGGAGTTTGGTCCTGTACTCTCACCACCCAGATATTCAGGGTGAAGTGTACAAACTGATGTGTTCTGAATGTGGTACATAGTAAGAATCAAGAGGATTAAGATGGGGGCTGGAGAGATGGCTCAGCAGGTAAGAGCACTGGCTGCTCTTCCAGAAGTCTCAGGTTCAATTCCAGTACCCACTTGGCAGCTCACAACCGTCTCTAACTCCAGTTCCAGGAATCCAGTGTCCTCTTCTGACTTCAGTGGGTCTTGAATACAAGTGGTACATGGACATACGTGCAGGCAAAATACCCATACACATAAAATAAAAACAACATTTGAAAAAAAAAAAAAAGAGGCTTAAGATGTTCACAAACACTGAATTTGTATCAACTGTATAAACTGTATATCCAACAATCAGAGATCAGTGCACAGGAATGTTGGCAGCCAAGAAAATAATGATAACTCATTTGCTTGTTCCTTTGCTTATTTTGGAGACAGGGTTTCACTGTGTAGCTCTGGCTAGCCTGAAACTCATTCTGTAGACCAGACTGACCTCAAACTCAAGAGACCCTCCTGATTCTGCCTCCCAAGTGCTGGGATTACAGGTGTGAGTAATTGTATTCAGCTTGAGAAATATTTTTTTAATTAAATTTTTTAAGTTGGCATACAAAGTAAAGGGCTTATTGGGCCATTTTAATACATATATATCATTATGCCCTGTTCTTTACATATTCATCACTGACAGATACATTTTAATACCTGAGAAATGCAGGATCCAAAATCATATCATGGTATGATTCAAAAGCACCAATAGAAAAATGATGCAGGGGTCAGCAAGATGACCCCTGTCCTGAATGACGCCCACTAGGGTACCTATTACTCCTGGAAAAGGGCTCACACTGTGCTCAGGTTGTCATGGGTCTTTCCCACTCCCTCTTCAACTCTACAGTGACCTTTTGTTGTTCGTTTATGTTTTGTTTTGTTGAGACAGGGTTTCTCTGTATAGCTCTGGCTGTTCTGGACTCACTTTGTACACTAGGCTGGCCTTGAACTCACAGCAATCAGCCTGCCTCTGCCTCCCAGAGTGCTGCAATTACAGGCACGCTCCATCATGCCCAGCTTTTATTTTCTACATTATTTTATGTGTTTGGGTGTTTTGTCTGTGCACCATGTGTGTGGCCTGGTGCCCACAAAGGTCAGAGGAGGATGTCAGATTCCCTGGAACTGGAATTGCAGGCAGACGAGCCTACCTGTAGGTGCTGGGAATTGAACCTGGGTCCTCTGAAAGAGCAGCCACTGAGTGACCTCTCCAGTCCCACAGCGAGCTTCTTAAGGCTTTTCATTTGTCTTTTTACCACTAGCGCTCAGCAGACATGGTTCTGGAAAATGTCAATATTCGAGGAACTGTTGTTGTTAAGAAAGAGCATAGTCCCAGCACTTGGGAGGCAGAGGCAGGAAGATCTCTATGAATCTGAGGTTAGCTAGGTCTACACAGTAATTCCAGGACAGCCAGAGCTACGCAAAGAAATCCTGTCTCAAAAACCAAATAAATTAAATGGAAGCTCTCTCTTCCCTGTGGACTCAATGGCTAAAGGCAAAAACCACCAAGTGACCTTTTAAGAAAAGTTTTGTTAATTTTTTTTGGGGGGGGAAAGTGTTGAGACAGGGTTTCTCTGTTTAGCCTTGGTTGTCTTGAACTTGCTTTGTAGACCAGGCTGGCTTTGAACTCACAGAGTGCTGGGGTTACAGGCGTGCACTACCATGCCCAGCTCGGTTAATTATAATTTTAATTTGTTTGTTTGTTTGTTTGATCTTGCTGTGTAGCACAAGTTGCCATGAATTCTTAAATTCACCTGCCTCAGCCTCCTAAGTGCTAGGATTACAGAGGTACACCATTACAGTGGACTATCATCTATATACCATAAAAGTCACTATTCTGCTAAATTTTTTTGTAATGCAATGATTTTTAGTAAATGTACAGAATTGTGGAAAATTACCACAATCCTATTTTAGAACTGCTACATCACCCCAAAAGCTCCCTGAGGCCCATGTGCAGTCTCCTCTACTCCCTTCCCAGGCAGCCACTGAGCTCCTTTCTGGCTCTTTATGTGGCTGCTTTTGGACTTCCCATGGGCTTAGAGTCCTTCAGTGTGAGGCCTTCTGTGGCTGACTGCTAGAATGCTTCCAAGGGTTATTTATGTTGCAGAATGCATCATCATTCTGGTTGACCTCCCCTTCTTGTTTCTTTTTATTACCCAACAATTTTCCACTGTAGCTATGTTCATCAGTTCATTGGCTAACAGATGTTATGGGCATCAATCTTTAGTGGCTATGAATAACGCTGCTATGAACATTTATGTATGAATTTTTGTGTGTATATATGCATTTATGGGTTCATTTCTTTTGAGTAGACACCTAGGAATAGAATTGCTAGGCCTTGTGTAAAACTTATGATTAAGCTTTTTGTTTTGGGTTTTTTTGTTTTTTTGTTTTTTTTTTTTTTTTGGTTTTTGTTTTTTGGTAACTGTCAGTGTGGTTTGATTTTTTAAATTATTATTTATTTATTGTGTGTATGTGTATTTATAAGTCAGAGGAGAAATTACAGGAGTCAGTTCTGTCCTTCTCCCATGTGGGTCTAAGGATGGAACTCAGGGCATCAGGGTTGACAGCAGATGCCTTTCCCACTGAGCCATCTCACAGCGCTAATTTTCATAGTTAAGTTTTATTACAAAGAACTGGGCTTTGTTTGTTTGAGACAGGTTTCTCTGTGTATCAAGCACTGGTTGTTCTGGACTCTATTTGTAGACCAGGCTGGTCTTGAATTCACAGAGATCTGCCTGCCTCCTGAGTGCTGAGATTAAAGGCTACTACTTCCCGGTTTACAAAGGATGGTTTTTATACAGGATTTCGACAAGTGGCCAGGCTGGCTTGAATTCACTGTCTTCCTACCACAGCCTGCCAAGAGATGAGATTACAAGTATATGCAACCACATCTGCAGTTTTTATATTTTGGATTCAATAAGTAGTTTTGACTTAGGTTAACTCAAAAACAAACAAACAAAAAGATGTAAGATGGGCTGAGGTGTGACCTAGTGGTAGGGTACTTGCCTAACATGCACAAGGTTGACTTTGATCCTCAGCACTGCCAGGCGGGGTGAGAGAAAAAAAGAACATAGGAGCAAATTCAACTATGTAAGGCCAGGCATGATGATGCACATCTGTAACCCTAGCTACTCAAGAGGCGAAGGCAGTTAGGTTACAAGTTCAAAGCCTACCTGGGCTGCAGAGGGACTTCATAGCCAACCTGTGAATCTTTGTTTCTTTAAGATAAAGTCTCACTATGTAATCCAGGCTGGCCTTAAATTCAAACATCTTCCTAATGTAGCCTCCCAAGTGCTGGGATTACAGGAATGTACCACTACAATTGGCTCACCCTGGAAAATGCATTGAGACTCTGTCTCAAAATAAAGAAGTACACAGGAGAGGCTGGAGAGATGGCTAGCAGGTAAGAGTGAGCACTATTCTTGTAGCAGGCCCAAATTCAGGCTCCAGCATCCTACGTGGGGAAGCTCACAACGAGACTTTAAATCCAGCTTCAGAGAAGCCAAGGTCATCTTCTGGCCTCTGTGGGTACTGACCATACATGCCAAACCCACACATAGATAGCATGCATGTGATTAAAAATTAAAATGTTTTTATTTTTATTTATTTTTTAAACATGGTTTCTCTGAGTAGCTCTTGCTGTCATGGAACTCTGTAGACCAGGCTGGCTTCAAGCTTTGAGACCCACAGGACTCTATCTCCTGAGTGAGGAGATTAAAGGCATGTACCACTACTGCCCAGTTAAAATTATCTATCTATCTATCTATCTATCTATCTATCTATCTATCTATCTATCTATCTATCCATCTATCTCAGGAATTTTCTGTGTAACAGCCCTGGCTGTTCTGGAACTCAGAAGAGATTCATCTTCCTCTGCCTCTGGAGTGCTGGGATCAAAGGCATTCACCACCATGCCTGGCTAAAATGTTTGTTTGGGTTGTTTTTTTGTTTGTTTGTTTCTAAAACAGGGTTTCTCTGTGTGTAGCCTTGGCTGTCCTGGACTCCCTTTGTGGACCAGGCTGGCCTTGAACACACAGAGATCCACCTGCTTCTGCCTCCCCAAGTACTGCAATTACAGCCAGCGTGCACCACTGAGCCGGGCCCTAAGATGTTTTTAAAAAGTAAAAAGGGGCTGGTATACAGTTCAGTGACAGAGGACTTGCCTTGCACATATGAAGCCCTCTGCTCAGTCTCCAGTACCATAAACAAACAATGTCATAGGAAGAAAGGATTAGAAGGACATGATTTAAAATATATATTTTTGCTCATTTAGGTGAAAAACATCTTATGAATTTCTTCTCAGTCAACACCAAGTTTTCTACATAAGCTACATAATGAGTTTTCATTCTAATTATCAAGGTAAATAAAAACATGAAAAAAGTAGGGAAGAGGAAGATAAGGAAAGAGGAAAGAAGAAAGAGAGGGAGAGGGAGGGGTAGGGAAGGAGGAGACCATCATCTCACCTCAAAGAGGAGGCTGAATGCGTCCTCCTCTTGACTTGTGAGATGGACCGATAAGCCCTTAATGAAGACCCCCTGAGGGTTTTCCAAGATGGTCATTGGTGTGACTGAGGGTCCAACATATGGCAGAGTGGACAGGAGATCAAACAGGTTCTCATTATAGATTTCCAGGTAGGAAACTCGTACAGTGATGGCCTGTGTGGGCCGCTCTTCAATCATCCTAAAAATCTAGAGGGAAATTCGATCACAGTCACCAAGGGCAGAACTCCGAAAGCTAAGTGCGCACTGTCAGCCCACGTCTTCCCTCAGGCAGTGCAGGGCAATTCTTGCCCTAAAGAGATTTACAGTTTGGCTGATGTGGTGGTCATGATCAAAAACACATATTGTTAGTCTGTTGGGTAAGATTATCAGGTTTTGGCTTTTACTCTTTTCGTTTGTTTGTTTTTTTGTTTTGAGGCAGGTTCTACACTGTGTCCTAGGCTGGCTGGAATGAAAGATATTTATTTACCATTTTCCTGCTTCAGTCTTCCCAAGTGCTGGGATTATAAGTGTGCCACCCCATCATAACCAGCTAGTTTTGAGACAGGGTCTCATGTAACCCAGATTTCTCAGGAATTCTCAGAGTAACCAAACATGACCTTGAACTTCTGATCCTCTTGCCTCCACTTCCTAATTGCAAACACTTGACACTGTGCTTCCCCACCCCTCCCCCCAATGTCGGGATTAAAGCCAGTGCTTTGTGCTCTTTAGCAAGGGAGTTAACACTCTTGGCCTCGAGCTGCTGAAACTTTGACAATGGGCCGGGAAGCACATTACTTCAGAGAAATGGAGCATGAGTCGTTTAGAATCACAAAACGCTTTGGAAGAGAGGCATCCTACCTCTAACCAAAACCTGGGCCAGCAGGTCCCAAAGGAAGGCCCTGTCCTGAAGGATCTGTCCTAATGCCCTGCTTCTTGCCTTTGTTCTTTCAGGAGCTACTGAATGGAGGAAGCCACAGCAAGACAATAAGGAAGTTCTGAAAAGAGCCGCATTTCCTTCATTAAAACCAGCAAAAAGCATGATTAGGACGTCCAAATCCCTAATTACAGGATCACAGACCATGGGAGCAGCAGGAGCCTGATTAGCATGCTGGCTCCCCGCTTCGCAAATAAGGAAACAGACTTATTGCTATCAAGGGTCAGTCTGAACATCAAAGCCTGAGTTTCCTGAGGACTCTGATTCTAGCCCCAGCCCAGTCATCGTGTCTCCAGAACAAGTGTTAGCTGAAGTTATCTTGAGGGCTGGACTCCTGTGGGCAACCTGAAATTGGCTGCTTCTATGGTAAGAAGAGGCTAGCCTCGGCATCCCAACCATAGAGCCATTCTCTACCTGCTGCAGGGCACGAGGCAGAATACCCCGGTGCTTGTAATTCTCAGTTGCTCCCGTCATGGTGTATGTCTTGCCAGCTCCCGTCTGCCCATAACACATGATGGTACCTGCAAACATTTCAAAATATGGCTGAGTGGGACATTTGGAAAAAAAAATCACTCCATGGACAACCCTCGTATCCTCAACATGCTTGGTGCCGCCCAGGGCTCTTGGTGTGAAGGTAGCCAATAGAAACATCTGTAGACAATAGGGAGTCACCGTGGAAGAGAGCAGATATACACCCTCACTGTGTGATCTACATAGAGCTCTATGCTTCCCTGTTCCCAGGTGATCTGGTGGTAGGGCTAGGGAACATTGTAGCTGCAACTTTTCTTGTGAAGAATAAGAGGGCACTGGAGCATTAGACTCCAGTCCTTCTCAAGGCCATGAACTGCATGTGTCTGAGAGATAGCAGGAGATGCCCCACAGAGACAAATTCCAGAAAGAGATGGAGCAAGGATATTGCTGTCAGTGGTAAGCTTTTTTGTAGATCTGTTTGAGACATGGTCTCACGTAGCCCATGTTGACAACAAGCTGCGTAGCCAAGAACGAACGACTTGAACTCCTCATCCACCTGCTTCCACTGCCCAAGTGCTGGGATAGCCAGCCTGTGACACTCTACCTTGCTGAAAGATTTATTTATAGACTACAAGGCTCCTAGCTAGTTCCATGCCACTTCCAGAAATGGGCAACTATGACAGGGCCATGGCCTGTGCCAAATGCCTACTCTGGGAAGACTTTCACTTGTACCTTTTGGCTACACTATCATCACCACCTTCTTTCTTCTCCCCCACCACCTCCTCTTCTCCTTTACAGCTAGGCTCTGGGATGCAAACCATTGTCACCTCAGGCTCTTATTCCTCTTTCCTCTTGAACTGGAGCTACTCCAAAGATTGCTGCTGTGAATCTACATGGCGGAACTGGTGAGGCTACCTAGGAGTCTGCTTGCCTTTGTTTCACAGGTGCTGGGATTGTGGTAGGTTTTAGAGGAGCAGCCCTAAGTCAGCACCTGGCTTGGAGCCAGGAGCAGTAAGCAATTAGCCACTGCTGAGGAGCCAAAACTCACTTCAGCTGGGATTCAGAACCCACCTGCAGTCCTGTAGCACCAAGCCTAAGACTGCTAAGCTCCCTAGTTCTCAGTCCCCCCCAACACCACCCCTTTATCTCCAGGCCATAGCCTCTCAGGGAATCAGGAAAATATCACCGAGTCAGTGGGGACCATATCTATGGATCACATGCATGATTCATTACAATGCTGGGAACTCAAGACTCACTGGATTTTCCACACAAAATAGTCTGGCTATATAATCCAAACTGTTCTCAATTTCCTGATCCTCCTGCCTTCACCTCCCAAATGCTGGATTTACAAGCATGTGTGACCATGCCTGGCTCTCTTCATGCACTTTCTTATAGAAAAGCCTAAAACTTTCAGAGCTATGTATCTACACAGAACATGTGCTTAGTATTTGTAAGGTTCTGTGTTTGATACCTAGTACCATGCAAGTAACTATCAAAAGCCTTGCAAACTAGGGACCATTCTGATCAGCAGCCACTGGATGGACAGCAGAGTCTACAAACTGTATTTTTATTTTTAAGCTTTTTTAATTTTCAGACAGGGCTACATGCAGCTCAGGCTGGCACCTAACTAGTAGGTAGCTGAGGATGACTTTGAACCCTGATATTCTTGCCTCCACTTCAAAGTGACTAGATTACAGAAATTTCCTACTATGTCACACTTTCAAGGTTCTGGGGTTTTTGTTTTGTTTTAAAGTTATTTTTAAATGTATGGGTGTTTTGCCTGCATGTATGTCTGGCTCATGTGAGTGCTTGGAATCCAAAGAAGCCCGAAGAAGGTATGGACCCTTTAGAACTAGAGTTATAGATGGTTGTGAGCTGCCTTGTGAGTACTGAGAATTGAACCTGGGTCCCCTGGAAGAGCAAGAAGCCAGTACTTTTTTTTTTTTTTTTTAGATTTATTTATTTACTTATTATACAATGTTCTGCCTGCATGTACACCTGCAGGCCAGAAGAGGGCACCAGATCTCATTATAGCCAGTACTCTTAAGTATGCTTAACAGCCCCATCAACTTTTTTCCTTCCTTTCTTTTTCTTTTTTCTTTCTTTCTTTCTTTTTCTTTTTTTTTTTTTTTTTTTTGAGACAGGGTTTCTCTGTGTAGATTCAGCTGCTTTGTAGAGTAGGCTGGCCTTGAACTCAAAACAGAGACCTGCTTGCCTCTGCCTCTCTGAGTGTTGGGATTACAGGTGTGCACCACCCTGCCTGCTAAATTGTTACAAATTTAAAGCTAGTCTGGGCTGTGGTGACACACACCTTTAATCCCTTTAATCCCAACAAAGGCAGAGGAGGCAGGCAGATTTGTCAGTTCCAGGCCAGTTTAGTCTACAAAGTAAATCCAGGAGAGCCAGGGCTATTACACAGAGAAACCTTGTCTTGAAAAAAGGAAACAAAAACAAAAACAAAACAGCAACAACAATACACACACACACATCCCAGTACTCAAGAGGCAGAGGAGGCAGACAGATCTTTGAATACAAGGCCAACCTGGTCTATATGGTGAGTTCCAGGCTGGCTAAGACTACACTGTGAGACTTTGTCTCAAACAAACAAAATAAAAACTTTAAAATAATCTTTGACAGAATAAGGTCATAAAAAATCCCAGTAAAGCTGTTTTTAGGCTGGGCATGGTTGCATATACCTTTAATTCTAGCACGTAGGAGACAGAGGCAGAGCCAGGTAGAGCTCTGAGAGTTGAAGGCCATTCTGGTCTACATAGTGAGCTCTAGGCAGACAGAGCTATCTAGTGAGATTGAGATACACACACACACACACACACAAACACTAGGCTGGCCTTGAACTCGCAGAGATCCACCTGCCTCTGCTTCCTGACTGCTGGGATCAAAGGCGTGCGCCATCATGCCCAGCCAATGTTTGAGAGATTTGAAGAAGACTGCAGCTGACCATCTAAGACCCAGGAAAAGCCAGAATCTTCTAAAAATCTAAGACTGGATGGAGCCACAGTGTTATAAAGTAAACATATGTTCGACCACTAGACCGCAGACTAACAAGTAAATATGCAATGCTGGCAAGAGAAGTTCTTATGTTTTATTTCATTTAGGATAGGATACCTCTTCCTCAAAGAGGGGCTCCTCAAAATCCTAGACAAAGCAAAGTCCTAGGCAGTCGATTAAATTACCATTGTATCCATCGAGGGCTTGAGAAACCGCTTCCCTGGCGACCATCTCATAAACCAAATCCTGGGAGGTGTCATGAAGAACTCCATCCAGCTTGAATGACCAGTCTGTCTGCTGGTTATTGACAACTCCTCTTCGAGAATCTTTTTTCAAGTGAATATCAATGCTCTAAGCGGG